TCACCCTGTACAACATGTAGCGTTTTGTTACGTTTAAATATAAAACCGTTTCAATTGACACGTACGCGCGTATGTCGTCTGTTTCGGATATTTTCGTCAAAACCACACGCGCGTTTGTTTCTTTTAAACGAGCGCGGCGCGAATGACGTAAAAACATCACATAAACTTTTAGCCGAGTCGTTTTTCAACAGTGTGTTCATAAAGCTAATTATGTGAACGGCTCGTTCGTAACTTCCGAAAGAACCATACTATACGTATATGCGTACTCGAACGACACAGTTCTATAATTACTCGTAACGTATTTTTAGGGTTTTCAATATACTATTTTGTTAACCCGCGAACAACAATATTTTCAATTTTTAAATAAACTCGAAATTCCTCAATTGAAATATAATTCCATCGCACTCGACACATTAATGTGTTATCATACACGGAATGGTATAATTATTGGCTGTAGGTAAAAATGTCTGTGGGTAAATATATCCGGCTTGTACACTGTAAGTATAGTCAGATAACCATAATAACCAAACCGAAAGGTGTTGCAGGATGGAATCTTAGGTTTTCCAAATTATTTTCAAATTCCCACCCATTAAAATTTGGCTATTAAATGAAAAAATGCGGTTGGAGTTGGGGTTTGACTAGTGCAAAATAGGTTAAAGGGAAAATATCAAACCACCAAAAAAAAAAAATTATGGAAACTTTTTGAAATGTGTATCCTTAAATTTAATTAATATTGTATAGTAGAGTAGAATAATGTCTATATTATTTTTATTATGATTTAATTTTAGATTCTAAATGGAGCTAGGAATGGTTAGGTTAGTTTAGGTTAGGTTTTACAAAGATGTTTGTTTTTTTTTTTTATGTGAACACTTAAGCATACTCCAATTATCAAGTATAGCACCTTTTTTGAAAGGAAATGTTCTCTGCGTGGTACTTTAAAGAAGTCATTTTTTGAAATTCTCATTAATATTCGAGGTAATGAAGAAAATCTCGGTCTTTAAGTTATAAAATATTGAAAGATTAAAAATAAGGTTGTCATTGGCAACCGTTTTTATTTTTTTTTTTGTTATTATTAGTTTTTTATTATTTTAATATTTTTTAAACAATCATTGCTGTCGTGGAAACGCACATTGTTGTAAACATTTTACCATAATGTAATGATATATACGATGTATTGTATTGTTGACAAGTCAACACTATCAACTGAACTCCGCTCAGAATTGTTTTTTCGATAGCAATGGTGTATCGTTGCTTATAGATATATATTAAATTCTCACCTGTATCCTATATTCCCAACTTCCAACCTACAACTAGTGCATGCACCCACGTGCGAAGTATTTCTGTCCTTTTTTATTTATTTTAATTTGAAATATAAATAACGATGCTTGCGTTAATTTTCGGTCAATTTTTTCAATGTCATTTTTATTATTTTTAACACCAAAATAATCCCCGTATAATTATATACTATTATTGTATTATTCAACATATTTTTTTTTCCTTGGAATCTCTCCGAATTCATATATATATATATATATATATATATATCACAGTATTAATAGACTGACATTTAATTTACTTATATTTTCAGAAATTCGATCCGTTCGATAAATGGTCGTTTGAAAATCGACAATATTACAACAATGCGAAAACCCCGCTAAAAACGACCATGAAAAACATTATTGTGACGTAATGAACGAGTCATCTGCAACTCGACACGATGGAACAAGATGGCGTCGAGGACATGTCCTCCGAACAACGCAAAATCCGTTTCAATAGCAATGTACCATTTCGTTCTTTAATTATTATCAAGACGTGTATCTGTTTTATTTATTTTTTTTTTTTTTTTTTATGCTGGGAGACCCTTTACGACGACGGGGTTATAATATTAAACGCGTTCGTAATTTCCAAAAGTACTTAAAATTAACGAAAACGTTGTAACCAGATGGTAATATTTTATGCCGCTGGTCAACAATTTTACGAGCGCCCCTCGGTTTCCTTCACAAAATCAGAAAAACTCGCCAAAAACGTAATAAAAATAAAAATTTTTATTTTTTATTTTTTTCGGTGGGTGTACTGGAGTGAGTGTACGATTAACAACGTGATTTTATACGCGTAGGCTAACATAGAGTCCGTTTATAAGGAAATTAACAATTCGTACTCAAGTATACTTAATAATACACGTAAATATTTACTATTCGTGTTTACGTGTTTAATTCACATATTCACGTGAATAATTGAAAATACGTGGAAAATCATGTGAAATAAGTGAATAGACGTGTAAACGTAAATAATTGTACACGTGTATACGAATTTTTTTAGTAGTACATGATTTACACATTCGAATATGTTAATTTCACGTGAAATAGAAAGTCCTAAAGCTAAAGTAGGTGCTCTATAATATGCAAGTTGAAAATGAATTAAAATTATTCATTATAAATCCTTACCCACAGCTTACCCGTATGGACGTATCGCCTACAGTTATGAGAAAATGCAAAGAAGTCGAATATAAATTAAAATCCAGACCTTCAAAAATATAGCATTACGTAAATTAGTAAATGTCTCTTTACCCTCTACGTTTCCATCGTTGCTATCCGTTCAGAAGGCAAAACGTTTATAGAGTATGATGAAGCTAAATCATTTTACAAACTTTTCGCCTTCGTTTGTAATCTCACCCCAACCTGCTTGCTAAATATCGTTCTACTCCAACAATTCTCGAAAACCCTCCTAGAAGGCTAAAACGTAAATGGCTTCGTGACTCGCTTGACACCTAAAAAAAGTTATCGAAAAAAAAAAAAATAATAATAATAAAAAAAATGCTGCTGGACGAAAATGTCTCTAATGGGTGGCTGTTCTCACCAAACGCGCTTCATGAATTACGTATAAGTTATTGTTAACTATTGATAAGTTTTGATACGTTGTATGTTTGTTATTTTTTTCTTGTATCACATTTACATATTATGCCAATAGGTATAAATTGTAAATTTTATGTGAAAATAAAATAAAAACAATTTTTAATTATTTATGTGCAGATATAGACGTATGCTATTAAATTTGACAATCCGTAATAAACTGCTGACGGACCGGTGAAAATCCACTCCAGTGAAATGTCAACACTTCATGTATATTGATAATTGCTATACCGCAGCGCTTCATCATTATTTCGGATTTATTTTTTGTAATATTATTGTCGTATTATTTGCGTTAGATTACTCTCCCGGTGTTTATTTTTTAATTTTTTTGAACTGACTGATACTCAATTAAAAAATAAATGCAATTTTGAACTATTATCAAATGGTTTGGAGATATTATATTTTTAACCTGCCGAGGATACGACTCATTGAAAAAAAATGATTTTATCAAGGCGGAAAAAATGTGATAATCTTCTACCACACCTAATAAGCAAAGTTGGTATATACGGTTTTGTAAATCAACAGAGACGGTTGAAAAAAACCTCCTGAACTTTGAATAAAGAATAAGTAGGTCTTCTTTCGTTACACAGTATTGAAAACAACATTATGGTAAAAACTTTTAAAACACATTAGCTATGTCTGAATACATTTTTTAAAGTCAAGTTAGAATTTATCTCATTTTATAATAAAAAAAATACGAGTATATGCCTAGATGCACTGAAAGGGAATTGTTTCTTACTCTTTATCCCGAATACAAAGTCTGAATGTATAAAAAGCATCGAAAATATATAGTACATTAAAAAAAAAAGAACAAATTATTTATTATTCATTAACCTGATGGATAAAAATTATTAATATTATTCGTCACATAAAAATGATAAATGGACTCGATTCTTTTACTATAGAAAAATATATATTATATTTTAGCATACACTTCAAAAAAAAAAATAAAATGTATTAAAAATTTTCGTTATTTTTATGAGTTTTGTACAAAAATTGAACATGAAATATTCATAAAATAAGAACTGATACTGCTAACTAGAGGTGGATTCAGTAAAAATAAAACAAGGGGATTTTGAAAATTCATATAAGGTAGGCACGCTTGTTATGTAACAAGCTCAATGATAAATCAAGTTAAGGGTATAATGATCCTAACTCTAAAGAGTACATTGGAAAATGAACGGGAAGGAAGGTAGAGTTGTTCGCCTTTAAGTTGTTAGTTGCTTTTGTAATATTAAAATTCACCAAATCTATAACGAAATATTGTATAAAAAAAAACAGTTTAACATTTTTATATCTCGTACACCGAATAACAATTACCTATCAATATTATCATTATATACCAAGGCTTGAAAACTTTATAGTATCGTGATAATATGATATTGTTTTACGTAAAAGAAAAAAATCGAAATATTTTATCGTAATTATAACGGAAAAAGCAGTGGCGGTCTTCGTATAGGGACGACGTATCGATCGCTCCCCCCACCCCTTGTGCTAAAATACTAAGAAATTACTTATTAATAAGTTAGATATTGATTTAAATGTTAACAATTATTTATTTTTTTTTTTTGGGGGGGGGGGAAGAATTGAGGGGGAAGAATTCCAAATATGAAATGTATCATTACTACCGAAAATTGAAGGAAAAAATAAATTAAAACTTTCGATGAGTGGAAAATCAAAATACTGTCCGATTTTGAAATTTCGAGAGGGTTCAGACCTCGTGGACCCCCTCCCCCGGCTACATTCCTGTATAATAGTATGCTGTTTACGCAAGTTTGTAATAAAAAAAGAAAAAAATACGCCTTTAACATGAATACAACGTACCGTAGCGCCTATCGTCACATTAAACGCCGGCCGACGTTAAACAACGCCGTTGGGTATTCATTCACCAGTCATAGCTGCCATCGTTTTCGGTTTTATACGACGCCGCCGTCAGAGCTTTTGACAACTATTATCGCGACAACACTGCATTGATTCTGTATTGATGGGTTCGCTGAAAACCAAATTAGTAACTGCAATTTTAATGCTATCACGTGCATACGAAAACGTTAGCGTCACGGCTTCTGATGGAAACTTATTGAACAGTGAACAATGAATGCCGAAGAGATGTGGTTCTCCGCGCGCCGGTGCCCAATAAGTTTCCACGAAAGTCGTTCAATGCAAAAAGATTCGGTAAATGGCGTAAATCTATTAAAAGCGTGACTAACGCGATTAACTTTTCAATGAAATATTCCGTATCGACAGAAATCCAACGAGAGCGTTCGAGGAGTTTTCGTTACTTGAAAAGCGGTAAGCATCTATCTATATGCGATACGCCATCCAAAATGACATCGCGAAATAAATCGTAAATGTATAAGAATAATGTTACAACTCAAAAATGTAGATTTTCCAGTACAGTCGTTTAAATGTTTTTCGTGTCTTGTAATAATTCTCGTCGAGATATTGGATTTTTTAGATTTTAAATTTTGTTGGGGGTGGCTGTACTAGTGTTTACTTTGCGGTCTAACATTAACAAGTTTTTTTTGATGACATTAAGAATAACCATCATAAATGTTCAGTTTTCGTCACTATTTTAAGGTATTATACGATCTTCCCGAAAAGTATATTTCACACCATATCGATATTTTGAACACGTAAGTGGTTGTTGGACGCAGTAGAAGGAGATTTCAATACAGTAGGATTCCAGGAGTGTAGTTTTGAAATATTCCAGAACCGCAATATGCGGGAGGTAATAGCGGTAAAAACTCTGAGACGATCTAAAACCCAGAGAAAAGAACAACAAAAATATACTCTTACTCGAATATTTTACAAATCTGTCTTGTTAGGCTTGCAGTCCTGTATAATGTAGTCTGCAGATCTAGTGTTATAGTGACTTGCCGAATCTGCGCGTTGTATTGTTTCGACGCGTCGGTCCGCATTGACGCGGCTGCTGCTGTATAACGTCTTGGTCGCAACGGGTAAAAAAAAAAACCGCACAGTTTATAGTCGGGCCACCGTCGTCGTCGACACGGTACGGTCGTAAATATCCGTATACGCGTACATACCAACAACTTCCGGTCAGTTTCCGGTTCACGGAGTGTGTGTGCGGATAGATAATATGCAGATAATATCCGGAGGGGAGAGAACGGGCGAAACAGACGGTATTTCGGCGTGTCCTGTCGCGTCTCGTACCGTCGCGGCGGTGACAGCTTCGACCGGACGTGCGGGGGCCCCGTTTAATTGGTTAACAAATCCGGTCGCCCGTTTCCAGCTCTCGTCGTCTTCGGATTCGGACGGACCGTCGCCGCCGTCGACGGATTCGGACACGCCGAGAAGAAGTTATCCGATAAAATATACAACGACGGCGACAACGCCGTGCGGCGATCGGTCGGTCGGTTCGCCGCACGCCGAATAATATTAATGGCCGGTGCTCGGGGCGCGTTAATTTATCGCCGGAGTGAAGAGGAAAAAAAAAAAACAACAACAAAACCCGAGGAGAAAAAAAAATAATAAAGAAACGGCCGTCGTCTTCGTCGTCTCCGTCTTGTATATTATTGTCGTCGTCGTGTATAAATGTGAACGCGCGCGAGTGTGTGTGTGTGTGTGTGTGTGTGTGTGTGTGTATGTGTGTGTGTGGAAACGACAACGGGTATATCGCGTCTCTTCACGTGTGAACGTTTTTTTTTTTTTTTTTCTTACCCGCGTCTCTTTCTCCATATATTATTTTATACACGCGCCCGTTCGTATACATGTATATAAATACACACACACGCACACACACACACACACACACACACGAATTCCTAAATAAATATAAATCTAATTGGATCCGAGAGACGACGGCGTTTATAATATTATTATTATAACACGACGATGATCGGGTTTTTCAGCTGCATTTCCGAGCGTTTGGGTATTTTTTACGGTATATTTTTTAATATTGTTATTGCGCAGTGTGGCGTTGTGCGTGTGGAATTTTACCGCGGCCATCGTATAATATTAATACCGGACGATCTGGGAACATTCGAATTTCGTTTGTAATTTTTTTTTTTTTTTTTTCACTTCCCAACCCGGAGAGGACACGAACAAACGGTATTCAACGATATTTTTGTACTGCGCCGCAAGAACGATTGATGCGCCTCTAAATATGTCTTTTGGTATTGTAGGTACTGACTAAAATCTGCCTAAAAGTACCAACGAAAAGTGAGCTTTTTTTATAGTTTTTCAAGTCCAGTGCATTGAGGAGGTTATTTTTCGATTTTCTAGGCAGTTTTAAATTCAAAAGCTCAAATTTTTACGATAAACATAAAATGTGCGGCTTTACAAAACTTGTATTATCGAACTCCAGAATCGTATTTAGTTGAATGCATTATGAATTAAATAACTTGAAGTATACTACCTTTTCAACTTCCTACCTATTTCATACTGGACATAGCAAGTGTTTTACTATGATGTGTGTGGTTTTTTTTTCTATCTGTAAACAACTTTTCGAACAGAAAACGCATTGCAGTCGGGAAATAACAAGAGACATTTTTTTGTTACATTTCGGATCTAGTTGGTGCATCAATGAGTTCATTTGTTGATTTTCCAATATGGGATTTAAAAAAAATTTGGAAATCCGAAAAAAAATTATTAGAAAAATGGTCAAATATGTTCGTCCTGTCGGGGGAAAAACGTTGAAAGAACGGGAGAAATTATTTTCAATTTTGTTTTTTTGTTATAATTCGGATAAAAATAGTGGCAGAGACTTGGAATTTTTACAGGTTTGTATTGGCCTATTCCAGACGTAATTCGTTTTCAAAATATTCTGAAAATATTTTGTTTTAATAAAAACTTGTATAATATTCAAATAAAAATAATCGTATATTAATTAATCACAAATAATAATTTGTATAGACTAATGCCAATACAAGTAATTTAAGTTATAGTTCAATAAAGATAACAATAAAAACCAATTGAAATTAACAGTTTGATAAACATAAAAACTAGAAAAATAAACAAATCGTAAAAGCAAAATATTAAGTGAGATTTAGCATATATAAAAAACCGTAAGGACGAAATATCGTGTCTTTTTCACAAGTGCTTTACCGACTAATCAACAAGCCAATTCGGAGCTTCGATGTATTTTTTATTTTGTTAATTTCCTCATGTTTTTGTTATTAACCGAACTTGTTTCATCGAATAGTTCAAACCCTCAAAAAGCTGTTTAAAGCAAGTTCATAATAAATACACGATTACTTTTGTTTATAATTGTATTACTTTACTAAAGTAAAAAATAATAACATTACTTTCGTTATAATAATCACATTTTTTTATGTACGTTTATCTGAACTTGTTCGTCAATAATATTTGACAGAATTAATGTTTAATTTTGCGTTCCTTAATTCGTGGTCCTGTATTTTATTTTAAAATAACACAAACTATTTACAAATAGGAATTAATTTATTCTTGAGTTTTATCGTCGTCTTGAACGTCTTTGCATGACAATTGCGAATAATTAAAAAGTCAGTCACTGGTATTTATTCCTTCGTATTATAAAGTCCAAAATGATATTTTAAATGGATAGTGTATTGTATATTTATATTACACATATTTATGAGAGTGAGATTAAAATTATAAAATTATTAAAATTGATTGATTGTATACTTAGCATTTCTGTGACAAGTTTTTTATCATGCTAACCGATTATGTTAACTTTGCGTTGGCGGTCCGCTTGACCGTACACGTTTAAAAACACTTCCCTTTTAAATTGATTCATAACCGTTTAACTCGATCATCTATGAAAATCATGTCGTTAAAAATAAGAAAAATTAAAAATTAATAAGTATATATTTTCCCATCGAAATTTACGCAAATTAATTTATAATTTATTTTAATTTTAAAAAAATTGTTCGTTTACGTTGTGATTTCGACCGATTTATCTTGCAGTTATACATTTTCTCTCATATAGTTTATTTTTCGTATCTTTTAATTCGATGAACAATTATTTTTCCTGAAAATTTAAGACTGCAGTTAATATCGTTAGTTTAATAATATTTTAGCGTCCTTGACGATAGTATTTTCTTCTTTTAATAATTTGTCTATGGTATTTATGAAGTTCGTTACAACGGTTTGAAGTTTCCACGCGTGATCTCAATAACTGTTTATCCGATGTCTGCTTTGGCTTGCACTTTTCCTCCAGCATGTAGGTATAACGATGTTTGCTTTCGAGGACGTTTAACGCAACGAAGACGTATATCGCACGCTCGACATCTTGATTGTCGTCTGAAACTTTACGATCTGAGCCCGAACAATGATCGGTTCTCACTTCGTCCGATTTCGCGGTATGTTTCCTTCTTACTTTTCTCCCGAAACAGTGGCGCACCCATCTGCAGTATTCTCTTTTCCGAACGGCGAAGCGCTTCTTGTTCGTCGAAACGTCTACGGCGATTCGACCGCGTTCCGGTCCAACGGCGTCTACAAATTATTATTACGATTACAATAGACGGGTTACGAGTTTATCGCTTCAGCGGTTTTTAATAAGTCGTCCGGGCACGGCTTTCCGTTGTCTACAATAGCGCGATAAACGATTGTTATTATAAACATTGGCCGGTTCGTAAAATTACATAATTACCGCGTGCACTATAAAAAGTAATAACTGCAACAGACGAATAAATCGTCTCGGAAGATGAAATTTAATTTCGACTCGCACAGCGAGCATTTTAATGCGGACGGTGTACGGACCGGACGAGAACCCGGCGAAACATCGCGATTCGTGTTCGTCCCGCCAACGCGCGCGGCGATCGTAATAATAATAATATTATCGACTAGTAATGTAGGGTATAAAATCGCTTCGAACGATTTATTATTATTATTATTATTAAAAACGCGTTTGTGAATTATTTCATTTCTCGTTTGAACAAAGAGGATACCGAAAAAAATATAAAAAAAAAAAAAAAAAACAATACATTTAAATTAAATAACCAGCCTCGAAAAATACCCGATAGTCTTATACATCTCGTATACAGGTATTGTATTAAAATATTACGTTGGATACAGAAACGGAATTCCCGAACGATTTTCGGTTGATATTACAAAGCTGAATATTATTATTACTACGTCTATATAATACAACGTATACACCCAGTTATTATGCATTTTCCATCGCGCAACGTCAGAAAAATGTGGTCATCATAATTTATATTACAGAATCGTCGACGAGGACCAATATTATAGGTATTTGAATATAATAAATAACGTAGTTGTTGAATTTTTATTTATTTATTTATTTTTTTTTTTTTTAACGTTTTTAAGGAGGCGAAATTATTGTTCGGAAATACCGTTAGTCGTACGGAATAAATCAGCCGTTAAAGCGAATACAAATATACGATTTATTTAAATTTTGACCGCGGGGAAAAAAAAAAAAACCGTATAATTAATGCAAAAATTTGATAACAATATTATTACATTGTATTTCTCCCTTTCTTTCTTTTACGGTCTCAATTGCCTTAGGCGTGTGTATTCTCACTAACACGCGTTATACCGAAAATCAGTTTTGTTATATGTATTCGAATATTCGTATTTAAACACTTTTGATATACATTTTGACAGATGCATTTCGAATACTCTAAAATATTATTATTCCAGAATGCAAAATGCATTCCAGTACATTTGTTAATGTCATCGTTGTATTACGTAATATATTATTACGTTATCGAAGATGCGCGTTCGTACTTGATGGTTTTAAAATTTAATATTTACTAAAATGATATTTTGTAATAGTTGTAAGAGTTTTTAATAAGATGTCTTTTAATGTCCGTATTCTTATAACCAACTTCTTATAACTTATAACTCATTTTAATAACATCTCATTTATCCAAGATAAAGTCAACCTAACAAACTCATTTACTTATATACCTAATCAAATAATAATGCTATTATACAAAATTTGAAATTTAGAAGTTATTTAATGCGGACATTTTTCAAAGCGTATAATTCTATATGTATTGATCGAAAACATGCTTCTAAAATATTTTTAATAAGTATTTGCATTTATATCTAAATACATACTGTTATAAAGGAAAATATTCGAATAGAATTTAAACAAGTATTCAACAACGTATTCTGAATACGTTTGAAAACAGTTTTCCTAACAAGAATTGCTACCTGGAAATTGATAATATGATTGTACTGTTGGTTTGGAAAAATAGTCTTGAGTCATAGTTATTATATATGTCTTATTCTGTTCATTAAACGAATGCATTTTTTTCTTCTAGATATCGATATATTTTTAACTTATGTCAATTTAAGCCTTCTATGATAATATTTGAATAATTCTATATACACTTATGTTCACAAAATGTTAAAAGGTTACAGTAAGTAATTAATAGCAAATTATCGAATTATATGAATTTAAGACATAGAATGTAAAAAAGCATAATGAACGGTCATAAGGACTCAATTTAAAAGTCATAAAATAATAACGATGTAAGTGCATTTATCTTGTAGGCACTGATATCTTTTATCTTTAATTCCTCAATATTTACGTCGTTATAATATTACCATATCATTGTTTGGCGTGGAAACCTAATAATACGAACGTCTGAAGTGGGGGAGTAGATACACATATTTGATTTTAAACATGCAATTCGTTTTTGTGCTTGAAAATATACGAAATCGATTTAAGCATTTTTCTTGATATCAAAGACAGTGAAAATAGAGAGATATTTTTTTTCTACAATAATACTATAAATATTATATATAGTTTTCTTTCCAGTTGTTCACAAGGTTCGCACACACAATGCATTTTAATCGACGACCTTTTAATGTACGTATTATTTTTAACGGTATTATATTTTTTTTTTTTTTATATAAATATTTATTTGCTGGCACTCTCGGATCCTTGTAGTGAACCGCGACGTCATTGTGATGTGTAAATACCAATCTGGAATCCGAAATTTTAATTAAATGTAAAAAAAAAACCCGCTCTTTAATAGTTCGACAAAACGATAAAAAAAATAACAAATTTAAAAAATGACCGTACATATTATTATTATTATTATTTGTACGTGTACTCGCTGGACGCTGTCTTTTTTTTTTTTTATTTCCTCGTAAATCGGTCGGTGGTTTTTAAATTTTCTCGTTGTTTATACGTGTACACACCACACACTGCACTACAATGATGCATGCCTACGAACCGAAACGCATTCAACTCATTTTTATAATATTACTCGAAGCATAATATTTAATGACGTTATAATATATTAGACACTAATACCTAAAATCAATGGCGTACACATAACTTATGCACGGAGCCATCGGGGGCAAACAAGGACATATTTAGGCTCCCTAAAGAAATCCCATTTCGGTCCATGTCTTTTCGGCTGAAATATTTCGTGTTATCTTTCGATTGACAGCATTACACTGTATATGCACACCACCGGGGCAGACAAACGGGAAAAATAATATTTAGTATTTTAGTACCTATACATACACGTTATATAGGTATTGACCGCGCCAACAAGACGGGTTCAAAACCGCACTACGGGTCGTCTACCGCCGTTTTGTAGCCCGCATGATAAACCGTAATACATAATAACATACGGTTAGCAATAATCATTTTGGTTTTATCGGTGAAAACCGAAAATTATTGTTATTTATGTACACGGTGCCCGCGTCTTCGCGGACGTATATGAGTTTGACTCTGTATGGCCACGTGCATATGAAATTAATTCACCATCCCTAGAATAATTTTTAACTACACGCAGTATCGTATTTTCAGAAAAAAAAAAAAAAAAATGTGTCCAGTGGCTCATGCAGCCCATCAATTGTAAATATAATATACAGTATTACAAAAATATGATTCTACTGCACTACCCGCATAACGGCTGCAAACGACGGTATTCTGATATATTATTATAATTGTTTATTTTTTACGAGATAAGATCAAAAAAAAAAAAAAAAAACGATTTCTAATGTCCATTGCATTTAGTCAAAAAAAGGAATGCCGGTATGAGTCGTACAGAAGATGCGTTCCAAATAAGTTTTCATTTTTTGTGTGTACGTATAAGCCTCAAAGTGTATACAATATTTTTAAAAGAAATTAATAATCGGATGTAAATCCTTATTGCTGAATAAAAAAGACACCCATTGAAATTCAAAGTATTAAAATCATTTACCGAAATTTTTTTCTACGTTTTATAAAAATAAAAGGGTTTTATATAATATAATAAGATGAGTATTAATGAAAAAATTGTAAATTATGTGTTGTACTAACAATAATTAAGCGCCCCCGTAAAATTCAATTTATGAGGAAACCCACACGGAACAATAAGTGCTTTCATTATTTTTTAGTAATTAGTATTATTCTAGTAGTTTACGGCATTAATGCCATATACTTTGGTTTTTGGTTTTTTGTTGTAAATCAGTTTGAAATTATCTTAGAATACTAGCATTTTTAAATAAAATTTATATTAGGTTTTTTTTTAGACGTGGAAAAATGTTCGAAATATTTTGCCGAGTTTTGAGCTATTTATAGACATATTATATTACGAGTTTATTTGATTAGTAGGTATAATTGTTAATATATCAAATCCAACAATAACAGTAATATTTTGATAAAATGTGTTGACCAATCAAAAATTCTTGAAAATTTAACTCGAGGTTTATTATAAGATATACTTTAACGTTAAAAAAAAAAAAAAAAATAGATGAGCCCTAACGTAGTAGTTTTTTTCATACGAGTTTTAAGATGACATTTTATGAAAATCGTAAAAACTACGGAATTTCGGAACATGTATGCTTGAACTTCGCTCAGAATCGTATTTCGTTAGCAATAGTTTACCGTTACGAATAGGTATTAAATAACTTTATACATCCCACCTACAACAGTGGCGTAACTGTCAGCACTATAAGCTATTTTTTTTTAAATATTGAACTGCGTACAGACAATGACGGCCACTAACTTAACAAATCTTACTACCCGTCCTCCTTTTATTTAATAGTTCGGACAGCGTACCAAGATTGTAGTAGACACTGTTAATATATTTGTCTTACACAAAATCATCCCCTAAAGATCGGTCAAAATCGAGCATCATATCATTTATATCGTATCTATCAACTTTTCACATATGCTTGAGCACCGTTTAGAATACAACCCTATGTTCATATATTTTCGAACAACCATCGCCTATGACATGCGTGACACAATTGATACATTTTAACCATAATTTGGGACGGCACTGCAGGAATTAGATAAATGGTGACGACTACGGTTATCTAGAATATTTCGATGTAAAACCAGACAATCGCTAACAGTGTTATAAACCGGTATCATTTATCAGTTATAATTTTTTTAAAGTTTTATTCAACAGACGGAATAATTTAAGAAAAAAAATCAAATTTGATTTAATTTAGTATTCTAATAATTTATAACGGAACCACGTTAAATTATTTTTTTATTACTAATGGAGAAAAAATACTTAACCCAATACGTCTCCACAAATATTAAAGTTTCAATCATAAATACAAGTACGAAGCTAATCGTTCCGTTTTATTCGGTTGAACAATAAGCAATTATTAGTTTATATTAAATTAAGCAACGATATGGAAATCGAATCGCTATTATTATTACGGTCAAATTGATTTCGAATTGCGTCATAACAATATCGTCAGGTCACCTTTGGCAATTTATTATCGGAACGCATATTTAAAACGAGTGCGTAAGAAAGTCTAAATTGCATTTATCGTTATTTGATCGCAGTAATAATTTTTTAAATTCTGGGCGTAGCAAGGAATGTGTTTTATTACGTGTGCTTTCTTTTGGTTCTTTTTCAGAGTTTAAAATAACCTTAAATACCAGTATTTTTTTTTTTTTTTATACGCGTGTCCAATGTTTTGAAAAGCTTATAGTCCAAATTTCTATGGAAAACTTGAAAAACGCAGAAATCCGAAATATTTTTATAATCGATCTACGCTCAGAATCTTTTTTCGTTAGCAATAATTTATCGTTGCGTACAGGTGTCACAAATTTGATTGTTCTTTATAAGCTAATTCGAGTATTTTTGAATTTGTTCAGTTATTATAATTATTATAGACAATATGAGCTCAAATGTCTTAATTTCTGCTTAAAATAAAAAATATATATTGTTTCCTGCGTGAACATAGACGCTTCTGAGATTCCAACTTATTCTAACCCGACTAAAATGTTATTACACGATATTTTCCTAACCAGAATAGAGTAATATCACGAATATTTTCAATTCGGAGAGATTACAGAATATCGTAAAGAACTCTGAAACATTAAAAGTCGATTTCCAACAGTTTCGTATTTCGCGACGCAATAATATTATACTCATCCGGTGGCGCGTTCCACCGATTATTATAATAATATTGTTACATTCGACACGAGCATTTCAATTTGCAAACTTTTTTGATTTGTTTATAATTGTAATGTACGATTCGAAAACCGAGTACTCGTACACTCGTATTTATTATAAAACAATGCGCCGCCGCCGCCGCCGCCGGTCGTTGGTGCTCGACGTTCGGCGGCAAAACGACGGGGTTTAAAAATTAAACAGATCCGTAAAACTTTTTAATCGAAACGGCTAAAGGTATACGCGTGTATATAACGCGATACAATATAATATTATTACGCGACTATACGGGGAATATTATATTAATATATACCCACTTTAAAAATGATTACAGCCGATTCCGCGGGCGTAAGGAGACGGGGTCGCGAGAGGCGGCGGCGGAGACGGGGGTAAAATCTGCGAATAAGAAATCCATTTCGTTTCGCGCGCGGAAGTTCAACGCAGTTGTTGTTTGTCTTACTTACTCTCTTATTATTGTACATTATTACGAGTACCTATATATGTATGCATATAGTTTCTCGACTCCGTATATTACGAAGAAAATTACATTGTTCGGCGTGCCTTATAATTCGAGAACGGGGAGTTTTAAATGTGTGTGTGTGTGTGTGTGTGTGTGTGTGTGTATTTACACGCGCGTATTTTCATAATTCGGTCAGACGCGAAAACTTCGCGAAATTTCGAAACCGAACAACGGTAATGTAATTTTTTACGCGACCGAGTCGGCTCACGTAAATATTATGCGTGTACCGTATTAAAAGTATTATACAGAGGACTTTCGAAGTCACTTTGTTTGTTCTAAGTGGTGCCGGGTTATAACCCGATATAACTCGGCGTCGGTAACTTTTCACATACTTACACGTACCTAATTTTTTTTAAGTTCCTCAAAGCGGTTCACGTTTTTTTTTTCTTTTTCGTTCGATACACCCGACCCTCCTAGTATTTGTTAAATATACGCCGACACCGAGCTCTAACATTATTAGTACCTATTATACTTTTCTCGGCGAACCAATCTATCATAATAAACGTTGGACGGGAGGATAAAATATTATATATAGAGTAATTGAAGAGGTGGATGTCGACAAGCTGACATCTCCAAATTACGAAAATGTTCAGAAGGGATTAAAAATTATTTTAAAAAATTGAAGATGTCTGGTTGTTGAATTAGAAAATGTAACCAATGGTGACAAAAAAAAAAAAAAAATAATATATCACGCGAATGGTTTTAAATATGTGTATTAGTATACACAAAATACAGTTATAAAATACAAAAGAAGTGATTTCACAAATAAATACAATGTGACCAATTTCTGAAATAACACATCTTCGGAGATGTCTTGTTACTGCAAAAAAAAAAAAAACACGTAACCATTTGTATTTTATCTTCGTATTTAACATTTCGATTTGTCTTATTGTTGCCCTAATCGGTGGAGATATATTTTTTTTCTATAAGAACGTACAATAAATTGATTTTTGAAAAAAAAAAAAAAAAACACGAAATTTCGGGCTTGTTTCACTCACGACTCGTCCTTTAATTTAATTTAGATCTGTAAGTAACTAAAACAGTAACGACCAGAGTGTTATAAATAATCGTATATTTTTCATTTGTCGTCTAATAGGTTACCTAATCCGTAAATAAAAAAAAATTAAATTTTTCCCTATTTATTAAAAAAAAAAAAAAAAAAAAAAAAAAAAATTGTTCGCACAGATTTGATCAGAAATGCTATTAGACATTTTCTGTAACNCGTATATTTTTCATTTGTCGTCTAATAGGTTACCTAATCCGTAAATAAAAAAAAATTAAATTTTTCACCTATTTATTAAAAAAAAAAAAAAAAAAAAAAAAAAATGTTCGCGCAGACTTGATCAGAAATGCTATTAGACATTTCCTGTAACGTTTTTGATTGGAACATAATTTCTAATAAAAAAAAGTCGTTTTAAGATATCACAAAAAAAAAAAAAACCATCATAGTAATAAAACCAATACGTTCCTCGCTCAGAATCTGGAAATTAAGTTTCACTTGGAAAAAATTAATCGTACAACTATATATAACATTAGGTGTTATATGTTTGTTATGTTTTCCGGTATCTACGTTATATAAACTTTATAAACGTAATAATTATAATATTTGTCCGTTCGAACAAATGATATAGTTGTCGCCTATTAGAATGTTAAGAAAAAATGAAGAAAAATTATTAAGAATATGCGTACGCATAATGATATGTAAACGAATTATTGGCCCGGTGCACAGCCGCGTAAATTGATTAAAGTCACGAAACGACTCGCGCACACACGCGCGGCCGCAGCCTGTGCAACAAATCGTTAAAGAGGAAAATCAAATTTCAACATGCGAGAATATTGCATTCCGTTTAAACGGTTTTTTGACAAAAAAAAAAAAAAAAAAACAAACAAACTATACAATACAATACAACGCGCACTACCATCGTGGAATTCACCGCTACGGTACCTATTATACAGTATGATGTACCTAAAGGCATACGTGTACGAGGTATCCCACAAACGTCATAGCATGTAATATTATCGTATGATGATAATTATTGTTATTGCTATTATTGTACGATAAATCCGGCGTTAAATAAGGAATATCAAATGGCTGCGGCGTTTTTTTTTTTTTTTTTTTTTTAATACGTCGTGTGTCTAAAGCCTATAAATTTTCATAAATAAACATATTTGAATAAAACGTATATAAATAACGTCGTGTTTTGTTTTTTTTTTTTTTAGATTCCCAGTGTACATTTACAGCGAGAAAGCAATTATTATTTCCTAGTAATATCGCCGTAGTTTTTGAAATGATTTGTGTGTGTTTTCCCTTCGGAAAACACCTTCAAAAACGAATCGGAAATTCTTGTTAAACAATGTTTTTTTTTTTTTGTTATATATATATATGCGCATGGAATATAATATACTCTAACGGAATCTCATTTCGCGTTTCGTATGTTCAATGACGATTCGAATGTGTAGTGTTTTGTTTTTACAATCAAATATAATCTTCCGACGAGGTTGCCTTTGAAACGTCGTCGTCTACACGTTGAATAACAGATGTTTTGCGTGATTTTAAAATCATTTTCGGTTGTTTCAAGTGAACGCGTTTTTGTTAAATTGTCCGTTTTGGCCAGAGACGACTCTAATGAAACAGGCAGCCTCTTAAATGTAAAAATGTTTGTCGAATTACAACGCGCATTGTTAATATTCAAGTTAAGTCATACAGTCAAATCGGGTGAAATAATAATAATATGCGTGGTAATCACACCATCGCGATAGCGAAATTAAAATAATTGATATATTTTCCCACAACGCGCGCCGTGATTGGATAGGATTTTTTTTCCACCCGTGATTAGTATTTTTGCCACGATGATAACCAGTTTGTATAAGTTCCTTATCGACTCGGCGGTACAGTAAAACGTCTTGATAACGGAATCGTTCGGTGCCAGCACATTTGTCCGTAGTAATAAAAGAGTTTCCGTTACGGAGGGGACTAAAATATACGGGATATTGGTTATGCGGTACTGTTTGTTGTTTTCCGTTTTAAGGAGATTTCCGCCTTAAAGGGGGTGTTCGTTACAATGGGGTTTCACCGTATTACATTTCGTAAGCGTAAATTATGTCGATAGAGTCAGAACACATAACTGCTAAGGATATAGATCAGGTAAATATACAAATCGCACTCCCGTCGTCGTTATTGTGCGTCACACGTCGCGTGACTTAATGACAAACTCAAAGGCTCGTCGCGGGCAATAGGTAAGTCTAACGTTATATTATCATGTGCACACTGTATCGCGCGATACTAATTTATACTACGATAATATTATATACGTGTCGTGTGCGCACGTGCGTGTACCGTATACGGTGTGATATTATTATTAATTATTTAACGGGTGCTGGTGCCTACCTACACGGACTCCGAGAGTGTTCTACGTGAAACTTGATTTGCGTACGAAAATCCGCGGCCGAAATCCCACCAGAAATAATCCCGCACGAACAAAATAACGCGAAAACACAGAAAACGGAATTATTAAACCGAATTTTCTTGGTAACTTTTCGTTCACATCTAAACGCCGTTATTTGTTCGAGGGAATCCTTCAGATGCATTTTTGAAACAATCCCGCATAGAAAAAGCACACAAAGAACTGCGCCGCTTGCTGGACCTACGATTATCCTGAAACCCTATTCAAGTATAGTATCCTCGGAGTAATTGAGCAGGGAAGTGAGTTCTGGTTCGTTTTATTCGTAGTTTTTTTTTTTTAGTATCTTTATAAAAATAGCACAATTTAACTATCTCAAAAGCAAAAGAATATCCGTATTGTTGATAGAAATGACAACAGCCGGTCATATAAAAAATAAGATAATTTTCGGTACATCCTAAGACGGGTTCTAATAAATGCGAAGGAAAATTTGTCCATAAAATCCGTTTACTTTGTAATTTATTTCATTCTGTTTTTGTTTTTTTGTTTCCCGGGATTTTATCTTGACACCGTGAAATTGGCACTGCGAATTCGTCTAATCAGTTCAAAATCGGTGTCGATATTTCGCTACTAATTTTCAACAATTTCAAACTCCAATAAACAAAAAAAATGTATACAACACGTTAACAATTTGTTTAACGACATCAGAATAAATTACACGTGGTGGCGCACGCAGATGACGTAGTGAGAAAATATGCGGGGCTTCGTCCGATGAAAGAACGTTCAAATCCTTGTATCATGATTTTACAATTTACTTTATATTCCGTTTTCGTTTGTAATGCGAAAGTAGATCCGGATCGCGGTAGCTGGTAAGTGGCAACGCGCATAATCACGTAATATTATTATTTTTTATGAATGTGTTGTATCGCATAATTGCTAAGTAAATAAATAAGAAAATTATCAGACTTTTTAAATCGTAACACGATCGCGTCACTTTTAATGATATTTAATGATCATATATTGCACGTCATCCGGGTAAAGTCGCGAAGGTGACTCGGAAAAGTATTTACTATTTAGGTATACGTAGTACCACCGGGAGAATTAACAATCGCCCCGATGACGTACCTATATACGTACTGTTATACAGTCGCCTCCCGAGGACAGGTCAGTTGGGCATGGCCGGTTTTCCGGTCAGTTACAGGTGACTAATTTTTATACGGATCGACCAATCGTAGGTATGTAACCGAAACGGGTCGGTTCTATAATAGTTGCCTGCACCCAACCGCCTGCAGGTATTGAGTAAATAGAAATACTGGTTCCGAAAACGGTTTTAAACAAAAATATACCGGAATTTTCGTTTGCAGTTTGCTTTTTCAGGAAGATCTATGACAATATTAATTCCGAGTGCGTAATTCCATCATTCGCGTATAACAGAACAATAACAATATACCGAAAAAGTCAAAAGTGAAATTTTCGTATTGTATTTTTCGCTGAAGTTTCGTTTTTGGGTCGCTTTTTTTTCAGTAATTTCGTTATTGGGACCAAAATACGTTATGTTACAATGCCTTTTTAGAATGACATTTTCGGTTTCTAATTTTTTTTTTTTTTTTGTTAGGCACTTTTCGATAGGTTATTCCCAAGCATACGAACGCGGGCCCGACAATATTTTAATACTGTAACATTATTCTACACTATCGTTATAATATTACAGACGGCATTTTTTACTGGCGGCAGTCGGCCAGAGTCTGCGACGGCTGACGAAATATCATAATCTCTCAGAGGGGTTCTCCGTCGCATGCGAGGGGATTCGCGTTAATACTCGCGTATATACGTAGTTTTCGTATATTATTATTATTATTGTATCCTATAAACTGCGCGATGCGTGTAGAACGGTATTATTATTCCGTCTTTAGTGTTCCCTTTAAAATATAACAATATTATAATGACGACCAAAAATAATCGCGCGAGGGGACGACGACGCGCACACGACCGCCGATATTCTGCAGCAGACGTCGCGACCTCCTGAGGCGAGACAATCGGCCGAAAAGTTCCGCCAAAATGCGCCGTGGCGTGTAAATCGGCAGCACGACGATTATAATAATCGTATACCTATTGTTACGACGTTAAAATAATAATATTCTCGTTATTACAAAAACATTATATTTTATTCCTCTAACGACCGGAATGATATTATACCAAACGGGGTGTTCGACCCTCGATAGGACACTCGTTATTTCAGAGAGTGTTTTCTTTTTTCGGAAAACTTATGAAACGAGTATAGGTTTCAATTTGAATATCAAAAGTGAGTAGCGGTTTCAGCACCGAAAATACGGGTGATAAAAAAAACAGTTATATAACACATTATAGCTACTTGATACAGAAGTTGTCAAAAAAAAAAAACCAATACAAATTAGTAATTACTTCCCGGGATAGTGAGTGTATTATCGAGGATTTATCCGCACATGCCTGAGCAGCATAAGTGAATAGTTTTCCGGCTTCAGCGCGACGACGTAACTATCTAAATTTGTGACGAAAAGTTTTTAAGGGCTTGGCCGTTTCGAGTGTAGCCATGCACAAAGAAAAAATAATGACGTGTCCAATTTTCGCTCAATGTACGCGCAATATAATATAATAATATACTCGTGTATATTTTTTTTTTACGGCTGCGTGATCCGTCCATCATGGACTAGCGATTTTTCGCCGAGGATATTTTGTGAAAGTCAGATTTCTAGTTTTTGTCTCAGCCATTATACCAGAATAGGTTTAGGATTTATTTTGAATACACAATTATCAAGTTTTTACTTCTGTCTTCTACTATCGTTATACATCTTAAACGATTATACACTTCGATTTTCAAGACGGGGAACCCTTCTCCGCCTTTTTAACAGACATTCTCGTGGATTCTCCCAGAAAATATCGGAACTGCTTTTTACGAGTTGTAAGTTCATAGCAGTTTAAAATTTAGACCAGAGGAGTAGTACAATATGCATAAACATCATATCCGTCTTTAGACGGTAAATTTATAGCTCTTATTCCCGACGCCACCGGTCTAAACCGTAAATTGTTATAATTCATAAACGGTAAATCCGATAGGTATTATAGTGTTATGCGTATCAAAATGTATTATGGAAAATTATTCACTACCCATTCGAGTCTGTGTTTAAATTAGAGCTTTCATGTTATTAAGTGAATATTCATGTAAGGTATAATAAACGATTCCGTAATGGTTTAAAGCGGAAATAAAATTCACTTAAAATCCTCCTAGAATATCGTTGGTTTGTGATGAATGGTTAATTCTGTATTATACAGCAGTACGATTATCGGTTTTTCGGGTTTAAATATATTCTGTCCGATGATTTTGTATTTAAATTCTGTTTTCAGAAATTAATATAAGACCAATAGTAAAATACACGTTATTTTAGTTTTTAACTCACTATACAATGCGCGTTTTTTGATTTTCTTTGTAGTTATCTTAATGAACAGAAAAAACTGTCGATTTTTGTTGATTTTTAGGTTTCCTTGACGACAAGGAGACAAAATATACGACTAATATTATACTCTGTTGAGAATCGTTTTTCGTGACCGACGGTTTATCGTCACGTACACGTAAAAATTAAACTACTCCGTCTATTATGTTCTCTTCCAACGTTCCTCCAAAAACAGTAGCACACCCAACAGCAGTATCAGCAGTTTTTCTGTCGGTTATTGTTTGTTTCACTACAGCGGTATAAATATTGTAACTTATATCTAATATGTATATAACTAATATGTAATATCAATCGAAAAAAACGACTCACGATTAATCGATCAATCGCACATTCGATTGGTATTGTTTAATAAGAACAATCGATCGTGAAAGAAAAAACAATCGACCGCCCCTAGGCACACTCATCGATACCTGCATAACATAATTATCATTATTACGCGTTTAAAAAACGCACGTATAAATAACAAACTCGAAAAACGGTATTTGGCGAGACGTTGCCACATCTCGTTATGCATACGATACACTAGCGGTACGTACCGATTCTATCACGGACACGGTATCGATTTATAATAGGATATACAAATATTATTCAAATTTTTTTTTTTTTTTCCAGAAACGTTTCGTCGGTAACGAACGACCGCCACCGCAGTCTGACCGACTGTTCTCGTTCGGACGTGATTATGCTGGTATGGTAAGTATATTATAATAATATTTCGGCAGGTGCAATTATCATATAGACAGACCGCGAACGGGGCGGATATATAATCGTATACTGTATAAAAAAAACCACGAAATCGTAACGTAGAGGGGGCTCGCTATGGGTGCATACTCGGTCGAGGACGAGGGGAGTTGACTATTTCTACGTTCCCTTTAAACTCCTCCCCACCTCACGCGGTACACGTGAAACTATTATACTATACAGTTTTGCCCGTGAGATCATTATAATATATTAAAAAAAAAAAAAAAAAACACCTATGTATACATACGCGTTGACGTGAGTTTTTCGGACGAAATACGAAAAAAAAAAACCCGATGTAACAATTACTATATTAACATAATAATTATTGTTGTGCGCCGAAATTTAAAAGTTTTTAAACGGCTGTATAATTTGGCGAGGAAATTACCGTGGAAACGGAACCGTGACCACCTGCGCGTCTGCCTGTCTCGTTGTGCAACGGCGTATATAATAATACACAGAATTATAATATACAAATAATACAAATATATAAATAATAATTTGCATATTTTATTTATTTTTTTAAACAAACATCGTGCACGTCCTCGACGAACACCATTACCGCGAGCCGCCTTCTATTTGTATACCTAACTTAACCGATAATGTTTTTATAATTTTTATCCTTTAATTATAATGCCGAACACACATTCCGACGTAGTGAGGGGGAGGGGAGGACGAGTGTGTCAGTCTTCCTCTTGATCTATTCTTATTATCGAACAAACGAAAATTTAAATATTATTGATAATCGTATTAATCAAATTTCGACTGTGATGAGAATTGTATAACTAGAGTTTGAACGTTGAACCGGTTAAAATAAAGCGATAAATCGATAAAAACCCGAAAAGAAAAACGCGAAAGTAAAAAAAGGGCAAAAAACATGTTAAAAATACAACACAATTTCGTCCACGAGCCTTTCATAGTACGCGAAATAAACTTGTATATGCCGTAGTCTTATATCGGACTAATAGAAAAAAAAAAAAATATATTACAGCATCCGAACTCGGATATTGATAACCAACGAGAACGTCGTCGTCGTATTCGGTCGCGGTTATTATACCGTCGTCGCCGGGTTACAAAATATGTTTTAAAATTAAAAAAAAAAAAATAATAATAATAATCGCTTAATCGTCAGAAACAAACTAGACGTTTCCGGTTTTTCGAGTTAATAAGAGAGAGACGGCTGCGGTGAATAGTATCGATATTAAAAACACATTGTTTTAAACAATATCATCTATTATATACACTGTATAGCGAGTGTAATATTAAGAAAGCGAATTCACAACACGATACCTATACGCGTATACGCACCGATCGTTATTTTCGGTATTATTATTTTTTTTTTTTTAATTATCGTTTTCGTTAATTTATTTATTTTTCCCCTCTCACCGCCCCCCGGACTATTCGAATCGGACTGAAACAGGTGTACCTACCCACCGGCGGCGGCTGTCGTCCCGTAATCCTCCCCCAGTGATCTATTCCTATACTAACCTACACTGGCTGGCTTCTATTACTGTCCGTGTACATTAAGTAGGCGGTCTACCGGCAGCAGCTGTCCAAATGGGTTTTTAAATAGGTATGTATTTTTAAGAGCACTTTGACATCGTATAACAACTCGGAGAATTCGGCGTTCCACACTATGGGATATGGTGCAGTAGTAATGGTCTCGAAAAAATAAAATAAATAATAGTTACGATTTTAAACCGTATTATGCAATTATACCCTCTCGTGCCCACAATAATGCGTAATAATATGCACAAGTTAGTATTCGTGTTTAAACTGCGTTACGATATTATCGAGAACTATTGCGTTCCTTTTATAAAATAATATATCATTTCATCCGATTAAAATATTATTGTATTTAAATTATAGTTATGTTAAGAGTTCGGATTTAAATACCCTAAAAACTGCCGGGAAATGCTGTGAAAAAATCACCTAAAAATTCTAAAAGGTCCTTTACAAATTGAAAACAGTGACACAAATACAAAATAAAAGTTTCAATTTTGTCTGAGCCCTGGTAACTCACAAGAGTCGTTAATAAAAAAAAAAAGATAAACTAATACGTTATGGAACGGTTAACAATTTGTATTGATGGAGAATACCTAAAACATATTAAACCAAATTTCTTGAAAACCAAATTTCTTTCGAGTTAATTTATGTATATATAAAATAACATGTCCTGACTGACTAACTGACCGACCGATTCATCATCGTCTAGCCCAAACAACTTGACGAATCGAGCGGGAATTTGGCACACAGATAGCTATTATGACGTAAACATCCGCTTAGAAAGGATTTTTGAAAACTAAACCCTCAAGGAGGTAAAATAGGGGTTTTTAAGTATATTTGGTACGAATATCTAATTACTTAATTATTTATTTTCGTTTATTCAAGGGTTTCTTTGGTGTTACGAAAAAGAAACCTATTATATTTATTATTTTTACTACTATTCACACTAATAAAATGTCACAATAAAACACATTTTGTCCACCGAAGGTGGACCACCCACGTTCCACCTATTTGCTTTCATTCAATTCTGACGAGGCCAAAACCAAAAATGAATATGGGTAAAATAATAATAATACAAATTGGCACCGGCAACGCCGAGCGCGAGACAGCTAGTAATGTATAAATACCCGTTTTAAACTAAAAAAAAATTAACAAAAATACTAAAATATGTTTTAAAAATGCAAAATAAGGGTTTCACTTTTGAAGTGTCTAACAGTTAGATGAATTGTACCTAGAAATCATGTTATATACGATTTATTTTAATGAAGGTATATTAAAATTGTAGATGTAACAAATTTACTAAATACATTTTTCTTTCGGGAAATCATTGTTGCCCCCCCTCTTTAATAAAACGATTATAAATTAGGAAACGTTTATTTTTTTTTTTTTTAACCTCTTACCAATAAAAAAATCGTCCATATATAGTTCAATTTTTCTCGAAAAAATTGCTAATTTGGACATTTGATATAGGTAGACATTTTTTTTTTTTGTCCCGTATATTAACATCTAAATCGTGTGTTTATCGAACAGATAGCTGGAACACCGAAAACGATAACGAAAAATAAAACAATAATACAGAGGCGTTGACAAGCTCCTAGAGTGAATAGTGGGGAGAAGGAGGGGCTGAAAATATTTCAAAATGTGTGCACTATGCGCATACTCGTCCCACTCTTTATTTCCATTAATAGGTACGTGACGAGTATTAAAAGGCATCACCCGTAAATGTGATAAATTATAATATACTGTAACCGGTTTACAATCGTGGTTAGTACCTAACACAGTTTTATTTCAAAACGGCCGAATGAGTTAATAATATTTGTATTTATAATAATATATAATTATTAATAATTATGTTTTGATGAAAGATGACTATACTTATTCAAATATCTTCACGGGCTATAAAAACGGGATGGTATGCAGAGTTATCAATCCGTCGCTCCTTCTCCCCCCCCCAAAAAAAAAAAAAAACCAAAAGTGTTATATTAAATATTATTATACTTTCATTTTTTTTATCGAATTAGTCGAGTCAACGAGAATGAATAACGTTAAATAATTTGTTTTTTCTTCTAATTGGCGAGAATATTTTTTGAAAAAATCGTTTAAATATAGAACATTCGAAGACGGTAAGTCAGTTAAATATTGCATCCGTTTTTTTACAGGATTAATGAAGCGAACCGTTTTATTACGCGCTCGTATATTTAACTACGCCACACCGCGAGAAAGAGATTTAGAGCTGTTTGCGCGTTTATTAAAGTCAATCTTTCGTCGCATTTGTAAAAGACGGAAAAAAAAAGACGTAAATATCATATTATTATAAATTTAGCACACACGCATAATAATAATAATAATAATAGTCTGTCGACAAACAAGTAGATTTGTCTTCTTTTTTTTGTTTTTTTAAAAAAAGCACGCCCATTTGAATGATTATTCATAATAAGAACTTTGAATGACTGCATATTTTACACTAAGAGTTATATACGGCCGCGAATCCGATGGGATATTAATTTGCCGTACACGTATTATTATAATTTCTTTTTGGCACACAGGCCGTCGAGTGCTTTTCGCCTTTCGACGCGTACGCGTTTTAATTATTAATAGCGTGTGCGGTAAAAAGTTTTGAAAAAAAAATAATAAGGCGATCACATGTAGATCATCTATTGCTAACGAAAACCGATTATGAATAAAAATTTAATTTTTACGTTTACGATTTCCGTTAAAATTTGATCTTAAAACGTTTACACGACCACTGTGTACAACTAATAATGAAATTCGTGTTGAATTGACAAGCATTTTTGTTTGGTCAAAAAATAATTGTCTTATTCACTCATAGTACCTATTAAATAATATCTAAAGAAAAAAAAAATTCGAAAGCGTCAAATGCCTACAATGAGCTCAAAAATCGCTGGAATGTTTTAAAAATGTAATCACGCCGGAAAAAGTCTGATATATCCGCTCCATAAAAACCGTCTATGAGACATAGGCATGTAGGGAAATTCGTATATCCGTTATTCCGTTATCAGTGGCGATCTCAGGAATTTCCATTGCAAATGGATAATATATAAATTATTTGCGAAATAAGCCGCATGAAGACTACGCCCCTAAAGCCCAACAATAAATTAGAATTCAACGTATTTAGCACATTACTTTAATTATGCTTCATACAAAACGAAATGCATTTATTTGAATTCGTACAAACATTTACAAAATATAAAAAATACATTTTCGTTAACAATTACCAATGTAAAAACAACCAACCGTAAAATGTTATCACGAGGCTACGATTAGTAATAATCCTATTTTAACCTAACAATCTTTTATGCGGTACTCAAAAAAATAATGACCATGGGGGGAGGGGATATACTCCCCTTGAACGCGACCATCCGAGTGTGTATGCGTTGCTCATTTTACGAGTATACTGCAGAGACGGCCATGATAATCATATGAGGATCGATTATTCGTTCGGTACATTATTTTAAAGACATAAAAAATATTGTAATTATTATTTAACTTAATGATATTACGAACCGTATACTAGTTACAGTGGCTATAGCATTACACGACCGAACTGACACACAAACTATACATACAGAGTGATTTTTTTTTAGCATGAACCAACAATTTTATCGGATGATTTTAAGTGGATTTGATTCCAGTTGTTTTTTTTTTTTTTAATCGTCATAGAATTCTTTAAACTTTTTTTTTTAATACTATTTGAAATTTGTTATCCACTTTGGATATTTAAATAGAATCACTTTCAGTCGTAGATTTAAATAGAAAACAATTGTCTAGTAATTTTGATATGCCTAATTAAATAGAAATGTATGCAGCATAACATCAATATCATATTTAAACCAGATGAATAGGGAATAATATAATAAATTGTACGTTTATTTTCAAATAATAAATTGTTTGATGTCATATTAGTGTTGTGCACACAAAACAATGTCGAAAAGAATATTCTCCGTTTGAATCTGCGATTGAAAGGGGGGGGGGACGTTATTTAAAAATCCGAAGCAGACACTCATTACAGGTATAACAGGTATACAGATTAGGGATGAAAAATCAAAAGCGGTGTCGAATAAAAACTCAAACGATTCCGTAACGATCGAAAAAAAAAATCAAATTCAATTAAAATTCTCCGAGAAAATTGCCGGTTCGTAATAAAACGATCGCCCTATATAGTTGCGGTATACGAAATCTATCGAATTTTCCATGGTCGATATTAATGTTTTTTTTTTTTTCTTTAACATATATGTGTAAATATTTACGCGGGTGTATACATACCTACAGTGTATATATATACACGTATATTATCTAATATATTTCGGAGATCTTTTTTTAAAGATTACGAGACTGTTGATTCGACAGTACCTGTTGTATGTATGTATAGGTAGGTAGGTGCACGTAAACTCGTTCTTTGTTTGTTTTGCTGTCCTTGACTTGGAAAACTCTCTGTTCACGATCTCTCGCGTGTATAATACCTGCGGCCCCATGGAATTTTTACGAGCGAATCTCCGCGCAGCGAGGAGGCGCGCGACTATATAATAATATTACGCGTAATATACCTGCAGTATAGTTCTCAAGGTGAGTTTTTTTATTTTTTTTTTGTTTACCAGACATTTTTGCCTTTCGCGAACCACGCATCGTTCGTAAAAAAAAACCTATATTTCGTTATTATGTCCGCGCAAGTGCCCGGCGGTTCGGACGCCGAGGCTTATCGAAAATGCGCGCGTACTGTTTCGACTCAAATCATTTACGATTTCAAACAAACTACGCGCGGGAAAGGACAAAATAACACCGTACGTGTTGTGAAAAAATAACTTTGAATTTTCTAGATAAGGTAATAGTAAATTATAATATTATCTTTTTACGCGGATAATCATAGGTACTTCTAGCTACAAAGGATGTCCAAAATATAAAGCACAACCCAAACGTCGCTCAGCAATCCGTTTCATTCGTCAAAATCCGAACACAGTACTCACTTCTTCCATTCTCAAATCATCGTCTCGCCCTCCCAAGGCTCCTTACGTCTCCGCTGCCGATTCTAATAATGTCCCATTGTTCAAAAACGCTATTAATTATAGTCCTTTTTTAAAATTTATTTCGGAACCGTTCGCATTAATAAATCCCTTAATTTCCCTCATTATAGCCACACTGCATTAACAACACATTCCATAGTCCAATTATCTCTACCACAATAATTTAATCGCCATAATGTTTCTATTCATTGATTATGATACCTGTTATACATTATGATTATTTTGTATTGAAATGCAAAATATTTAAGCATATTTAAGAGCATGTTAATGACTTATATATTTCCTATGTACACGTTGTCATGTCTTTCCGTTATTTTAAGCGTAATTGATGGAACTAATTGTTTTTTTACACAAAGTTCCAATAAAAAGAAGAAAAAAATATACCGTTCACTATATACGTAGGTATCATCTATTTGATAAGCGTTCCATAAACATTCGTTGTAATCAATTTGCTTATTGATAATTCGGAACGAATAACAAACGTTTTACCGACAACACCGTTCACCACTACTCACTATACACTCACCGCGCACAAATGCATTCATTTAAAACCGCCGAATACGACCGATCTAATAAATATTTGTAAATTCGTCTGTTAAGTAACTTGTAACATTGTCGTTTAAATAATACATTAACATTATCGCGGTGAGCCGATGTGTCTTTTTCCCGGTATCCGATATCTATTTTCGATGTTTGAAATTGATAACTACTATGAGCTAATATTGAAATTAACCGAATATATCGGTTGAAATCCCGATTTTTTAATTATTTTTCCATATTCCAGAGATGTTATAGATTATTTATTCTCCCGAAAATACCGGTGTTGAAAAAAAACCCACCATCCAATGTTCCGAAATTCTCAAAATCGGCCAATATAGTACGATATCGGCTTATACCGGTACTCACCGCTCATGGACGTTATTAGTTTATAATTAATACCGCCATCATTCGTCACTCGAATGAAGTCAAATACCTCGGTCTTACTTTTGACAGGCGCCTAACCGGGTCTCCGCATCTTAAAGACAAGCGTAAGAAACTTAATTCCAGACTATATCTGTTAAGGCCCCTCCTTCGTTCCAACCTAACCATGCCCATCAAAATCATTCTATATAAAACTCTTCTTCAACCGATATGGACACACGGTATCGTTGTACGGGGCTCTACCAAGACCTCAAATAAAAGAAATATACAATCATTTCAAAACATCTGTCAACGATTGATCACTGGTGCACCCTGGTTCGTTTCAAATGCGACCTTAAATTCCGACCTCAAATTACCTTCCACCAATGAAACTGCTGCTACCTACAACAAACGCTTCCGCGCCAAACTTCAATGTAATCCCAACCAACTAATTAACGATTTAGCTTCACTAACACTTCTTGGTAACCCAAACCGACGCCTTAAAAGGAACTGGTACCGCGATTTGATAACCTAAGAACCTACAAATTAACAAATCATTAATAATATTATTATGAGGTATCACAAATGTGTGATTCCTCTTCGTGTGTTAATAAATGTTAACTTCCTGTAAATTATTATTATTATTACTTATTGTATATATTGTATAGATTGTAATTCTTCAAATAAAGCCAAATTTAAAAAAAAAAAAAAAAAATTAACACCGATTATATTTTAATACCTGTAATAATAATTGGCGTTTGGAATTAATAAATGTACATTATAATAACGTGACTTAAAAAATTGAAATAAAAAATGGAAAATTGGTAATTGATGGTAAATGACGATTACTTTGACAATATCGCCGAATCGTACCACGCATCGAAAATCACAAACGAGTCGAAAAAGTAGAATTAATCACCTCGACAATCAGATTACTGCGTTTTATTTATCTAGATAAGGTACACATCTAAATAGGACCAACAATTTATCCGAATTACGCGCGTAACACTGTCGAGCGCCTAGAGTTTTGTAATATCCCGCGAAACGACTGTAACACAGAAATATACGGACGATGTCTAAAACTAAATTATAACATATTTTTAGTTGTAATAACGTGAAATTCGTTCTTCCTGAGATACCAAGTGTTTTTTGTCAGTTTTGGAAAACGTTGAAATTTGAACGCGTGCCGCCCTTCAGTCCCCCCCCCCATCTGCCTAAAAAAAACGTCAAATACTTTTTATCTTTTTGTGCTTACACGAAACAAAGCGACAATAATAAACCGCCTACCTACGCGTGCGCTGTTTTAAACGTACCTACGTGTGCCGTAACGACGGTAATTCGCGCGGTGAAGTTCGCCGAATAAAAGAGAACAATAAAAAAACGCGAAGCGATAAGTCCGCGATAAACGATCGCGTTTTATTCCGCAATCGCGATCGAAATTAATTCGATTGGATTTCCGTTTAACGTAATTTAATTTTGTTTTTTATTTTTTTTTCCCCCGGTAACCGCCGTCTCCCGTAACGATTATTGTTATTTCTCGTAGCGTTTCGTTATAATTAGACAACAATGACGTATAAAAGTGCGCGGCGCCGATTTATTATCGTATTGCACGCGCACGCGGTACGATGGCCCGAAGCCAAGTCCGAAATAACCGCATAGGTGCAAGTACATACGCGGGACTGCAGTACACCTGGCGAATCGTAATAAATACCGTAATACCCGCGGTAGGTGCCCGTTGACTGAATTATTATTATCATTATTGTCGTCACGATAATGTTCGCAAACACCTGTTCGCGAAATGACACGCGCGCGACAGTTGCAATTAACGAGATCTAGGGCCGCCCACGTCCCGCGTATCGGCTGTATTCCATTATCTCCGTCGATCTCCGCGGGTGATACGCGTACGTCACGTGCCTGTTGCGAAACTAACGGACCGGAATAATATTGTACACATTATTGCTGTTCGTATTGGTATTGTTACCGTAACAATCAAACATAGCGAAACAAACATAGCCGTGACCCGCGGTCGTTTCGGATGTTCGCGTTTGCACCGGGTCGACGTCACGGTTTTTAACGCGCGTGTTATCACCGGTGCACACCGGAGCCGTGTTACGCGCGTACGTTCAACGTTATTAATGCAAAACGTACGAGTCCGAATCGAGTGAAATTCGGAGACCGCGGACGAAAGTTAATTTTGTCTCGTTGAACGCGAATAATTACTGTCGTGGTAATAGCGCGCCCCGAAACACGCGTCCACGCGTCGTTACGGGACGCTGTGCCCACGACGTTTAGTAAATGACGTTTTCGCGATCGCGCGGTTAGGTTGCACGGTGTCCGTTACACGGGTATCTCGTGAAATCCGTCGGCCGAATCAGTGGCGGTCAGGGCCGTCGCGAGTTGAGCGCCGCGTGTCCAATCGAAAAGGAACAAAATGATTCGATTTACTATGTCGCATCAATGTGTACGCGACATCGTGTCGTGCAGTAGTGACGAAAATAGGTTTTCGGATTCTGGACGGAGCGAGGCATGTATCGATTTTACAACGATGTTTATTGTTATTATTTTAGATTCTGAGTGTGGCGAAGAAGCTTATGGTTTTACAACGATGTTCCACAGCAATTTCACTCCGATTTTCAATGATGGAACTTTTTTTCGAAGGAAATCGGACTGGGGGAGTCCTTAAAGATATCATTTTTTGATTTTCCCAAGAGTTTTTTCAATAAATTGGAAACACCCGAGGGAAAACGGGAAAATATACGAAATGTATTATTTTCAAATTATTAGCACTACGGCTTTTTAAAACATGTGTAATCGAACTCCGCTCAGAATCGTTTTGCGTTAGCAAGGATTAATCGTCGCGTATAGATATAAATTAAATTCCCTTCTGTATATTACCGTCCTCAATTCTCACCTACAACATTGGCCCGCCCATGGCGCGAAGTATGTAGGTGTCTTTTTTTTATTTCAGATGTTATGTGCTCCAGTATACAGTGGCGCAAATGGGTATCCCATGAAGCACCTGCTTCATGGCTAAACCGAGTGGACGGGTGCGCGCATGGTATGCAGAACTTTACCGTTGGATGAGCTAACGATAAATGTAAAGTGTTATACAAACGGATAGAAAAACGAAATTAAAGAAATTAATGTTAATTAGATATACGATGTACAGAAGCACTCGGGACCTCGAATACCCGGCTCGTATCGTTATAGTACACATAGTGGTTAAAGTGGAAAAAACTTCGAAGGTGAAGTATACTTACCGAAAATTGATGTGCGTTCCTGAGAACTAACAAAATTTTCGAGAAAACCCGTCACGGAGTCAAAACTTCCAAAATGTTTTGCATACTAATTATGTTTAAACAAAAATTGCATCATATGATTTAAAAACATAAAACTTTGCAACTTGGTATCCTTATATAATATAACAACGTATAAACGGGCAATTGATTTATGAAAACTCGACCCCTAAGACCCCCTCGCGTGTAAATCTGCTGTTTAAAATACGAAAATGCATTATTTTTTTTCTGGGTTACATTATTATGGTGTCACGAATGGAAAAGAATATGATTTGTAATTTGTCACGGGCAACGCCGACGTACTAGTGTATCGCATGCGTTAAAAATGTTAATATTTTACATTGATTGTTTATAAAAATGAATAGTTTAAAATATTCCACGTGAATACCTAAAGATTATTATGAAAAAATAGGTAACTTATATACTGCCATAGCTTAACTACGTAACTTATAATCGTTTAACTAGGTTAATATTGTTCGTATGGTGTATCAACGAAAAATAAAAATAAAACACCCGACTCAATACCGACCGCAAACCTCGCGAACACCGTGCATTAGCATACCCCGCGAGCCTTGTCTATGTTATGATTTATGTGGATTTTTTACCCATCACCTATTCAAGATATATTCATGTTAGCTGCAGTCAAATTCAGTCAAGACGCATTACAAATAATAATTGGTTTGGTTGGACGTATGGTTGAACTTAAGCAAACAATATCAGACATTGATACACATTATCGAAAGAATTCAATATTAATGAGGATGAATTAAATGCAGAATTGCGATTGATAAAAGCTCTAGGGCGTTTCGAACAAAGAACAACAATCAAAGTAGTACACATTCGGCTACACAAAATATCAAGCAGTGACAAATGTCTCAATGTCCTCACTGCGTGAGCGGTAACCTTGCGAACTTCGGTCAACTACGATTGTGTCAATGAGGAATTCAAATTAACCAAACGTAAATCGATGTTTAGAATGTTTATGAAATATGTATTTTTACAAACACAATAAATAACGCGCGCAGTGCCTGGTGTACAGTGTTGTATTAACACATTGCGACGAAATCGAAAACAATCTATTTTTCTCGTAAGCGTATGCGTTTTGTTTCTGAGGTCAACACCGCAGGAACGAATGAACGAAATGTGGGGGTGGACGGACGAACATTTTACATTAGCCCCTTGCCGTAAGACTAAGTGCGCATACGGTCGCGAAAGTAATCCGCGCGTTTTCGAAAATCGTCACCCACACGTCCGTTCGTCCGACGCTACCGGCCGCGCGCGGAGCGGGCGCGGCGACGGCGCGCCGCGTTCCCGGACGCCGGGCCGAACGGGACCGGGCCGCGGACCGTCTCGGCCCGGGTGTGCGGCCGCAGAGCACGGCGTTTCGTAATAACGCAACGGCGACGCTATTGTTACGCGGACGTTGGCAGCGCGCGCCGGTTCGCGGGTTTCCCGGCGGCGGCACGGCGACAACGGACGCGTCGGCGCTCGTACGCTGGTCCGCGGCGAAAACCGCGCGGTCTGTTTCGGACGGCACACGTCGGTGTTCGGCGCCGCCGTTCCCGGTCGCTCGGTCGCGCGCGGACACGGTCGCCGCCGCCGGCAGGGTGGTCTCTCGGTCTCCGCTACTGTTGTTTTGTATTATTACGCTCGCGTTGTGCCGTGTGTAATAATAACAATAATAACGTTAGAAAATCGGAACACCGCCGTATGCGCCGCAGGAAATTCGTCGCCGGCGTACGCCCGGCCGGCGGCGGCCCCGGGTACACTCGGGTACCGAATGCTTTTGAAGTGTGTTCGGAGCTCGACTCCGATTTCTCCGTGGATAGCATTCGGAATATTAACACGGACACACGCGTGTGCAAAAAAGATACGGACATATTTCGCGCGCGATGGACGGGTTCGGCATAGCAGCGTCGCTTTTTCAACAATAATATTATGTAAAACGTCATAGTTCGGTAAAACAATTGCATATGCATTATGTTTATTCTTTGATAATATATTTTGTTAAAATGCTATCATTTTCCCGTTTTGTCCACGTTTCTTCTCGATTTTTCCCATTTATTATGAAAACTTTTTGAAGAATTAAAAATTACCTCCTTAAAATATTATTCCAGTCAGTTTCCCTTTCAGAAAAAATGCTCTTCATAAAAATAACAAAATTTCCGATTTAAAGTGATTGAAAA